AAGCTGGTGTGCTGGGCTCCTGGGAAGCAGAGTGTAAAGTTAATACTTAACGCGGTAGTCACATGCCCATTAGCGAGTTTTTTGGGTTTTTTTTTTTTTTATGGAGCGTTTTTTTCAAAGACGCTTTGGAGCAGGAAATGCCGGCGCAGGTAGTAGCGTAGAGCTGTGTGAAATTTAATCGGTTTACTGTATTTGGCGGCGGTGTTATTTGCTGCGTTTGTACAAGTCAAGTTTTAGAGGCTTGGAAGTAGATGTGTGCAAACTGTACCTTCAGTATATGATCCAAGTTTAAGTTTATCCCTTACTCTGATTTCTCAGTGCAAGTACTTTAAAACGGTATTTTCAGAAGTAATATATCTTGTTCTCTCTACGAGTTTTTTTTTCCCTTCCTCAAATGAGATGGTAAAGTATATTTACTTAATGCTGTATTTTCTACGCACGAAATTTCCCCTCTTCCTTAACTTTAACGTTGCTAGGATTATTTTTAAGAGCAAAAGAACTAATTATGTGAATAGTAGTTTAGCTAACTGGTGATGTGCTGTCCTCTTCCCCCCCTCTGAACACATATGGAGATTGCCTTGACTCGTATCGTTATTTTACTGTCCTCTTCCCTTTGAATAAAAGGATGATTTTAGGTATTAAAATTGTGAGAACTCATGTTATAATCTGAATATAAATTAGCCTAATTAACTCATAAGCAATGCTAACAACCCCTAACAAGTTGTTGCAACATAAGCTGTATTTGTTGTGTTTTACTATCAAATTACTTGTGCAAACAGTTATTATCCTGGACTAGGGGGAGGCTGACAGTAAAAACATCTAAAATATGTACTTAATTTTCATACCAAAAATTGATAGTGTAGAAACTTTTTCAGTCGTACAGTGTGCATGATGTACCGACCGATCTGTTTGGGTATGAGACCCAGGAGACTTCAGGGTCAATATTAGCACTGTCATGTGTTTCAGTTATGTGGCTTTCCGAGATCTGTGTAGCAATGCTCTCTGTCATTTTTCCTCAGTAAATGTTTCTTGACCCAGTAGAACAATTCTATCACTTAAGGGACATAGGGATGGGAAATAAACCAAGATGGTGATTTTTTTTGGAAAAAAACTCTGAGTGGGTTTAAGTGGAAACAAGTTGGAGTTTGTCAGGATGAGGATAAGCTATGTTGTATTGAGGATGTAATATGATGAGGGTCTGGATCAGAGTTTCTAGATGTGCTGACTGAGAAGAAAGGTTATTGTAGGTAGGTTTGTACAGATTTGTGCATACAATGCATGTAAAGAAATGCAAGACATGTAAAGATTTAGACAGTTCCTTTTTCCAGCAGGTCCATAAGATAGGGGTGGGGTGAAAGATGATGCTCATACCACCGTTCCTTTTCACTCCGATATCTAGTTTTTCCATGATGACTGAAATCAAAACAGTTGTTGGGAAGGAACAAAACTTTGCACTTTTGCTAATGATTGAGCATCTACAGAGAAATCTGAAAGGCAAGGGTACAGTTTGGGCAGGCAGTTCATCTGGGGTAAAAAGGTAAGTATGTAAATTATCATTGTAAACATGTAAGATACCTTTTTTGAGATGACAGAAAGTACGGGGTAATCTTTGCACAAAACACTTCATGAAGGAATAGGAAGACGGAGAATAAAAAATTTTTTTGTCTGTGGCTTTGTTTGATAAAATGCCTTACAGTATTTGTGAGCTGGCAGAGAGGAAGGTCAGGAATAGTAATCTTGAGAGTTCATCGCATTTAGATTGTTTTGCGATCTTCTTGACAGGTCTTGTACTAAAAGTATAGTGATATTTGAATTCAGTGGAAAGAAATGCTCATATGAGGAAACTCAAAGGTTACTTGCTGCTTTAGGGCATTGGGATCCCAAACTTTTTGCAGCTGAGCCTTGTAGCTGATTTTCCTTTGTTGCTGCTTCTATCTTCCCTCTTCAGCAGAAGTTATTAGTCAAAGCCTTTCTGTGCATTGTGACTCACCATAAATGTTGGCCCATGTCATTGGTTGGGAATTTGTGTTCTTTAAGATCTTTGCTCAGAGTTCCCCTTGTGGCTCTTTCAAAAGTTGACTCCCAGTTTTAACAGTGCAGGGGATTAGATGCTGAACTGTGAACCTGCTGTTTTGTTTTTGAAGCAAACAGGAAATTTTTCATTTGAATAGCTTGAAGAGAGAATTGTGTACTTCTGTAGAAGCCATCTGGGATAGTGTCTGCGCTTCTGGTTGTCCCATCTTGAAAGGATATTGGAAAACTACGACAGGAACCATGATTTGGCTTATGAGGGACAGTTAAATGGATTAGGGCTGGAGAAGAGACAACAGAGATCTTCAATACAGCAAAAGATTGGTTTTAAAATCTCCATAGATGTGAAGAATTCTTAGAAAGAAATGGCCATTGAATACTGCTTTTGTCTGTCGAGAGCTTCTTGAGTCACTGATGCAAGGCAGACAGAATGTGTCAGAGTAGTATCACTGGTTGTATGCTTCAGATGGCCCATGTGAGCAAGGCTAATTGTCACTGTTGGAGAGATGATTTTTGGTCTTACTTACAGTGCTGTTCTTGTTGCATGTTATATGTGTTACAAGTACATGCTTAAGCATGCATAAGGTATTTTTCCTCTATTTGGTGTTTCAGATGGTGAGGACTTGCATTCTTATAAACAAATCTCTTCAAGAGTTTTTAAAGTGAATAGTATTCTTTTGAAAGACAAAGTAAGACTGACATTTTAGTGACTGTACTGAAAGCGTTAGCTGTATCTTGCGGCCAATGTTGTGTTTCACACAACAATAAAGGTGGAAGGGAACAGGATTTGTGCAGTGACCAAAAAATTATGGGCTAGTCCATTTTAGATGGATGTAGGAGTTTACTCATTTCGAATTTCAGTAATTTTCTACATTTCTAAGAAGCAGCATCACGGATTTTTCAAATGCAGGGGAAAAACAGTTTGGGTCCTCCAGCATTGTCACGATACAGACGAAGATTTTTGTTCTGCTGACAAAATCCGGCAATTGTAAATGACAGCTTAAGTGCTGCAGGGGACACTCACGTTCTCACAGTTGTAAGTGCTGGATTTTTGATGAGTTTCTTTTTGGTGAGGAGGAAACCGTCCTAATAATGTTAGTTCATTGCAGAAAACTCTAGTGATTGTCCACCATAAGTTTATTGTGTTTCAATGAATTTAGTCACTCTTCCTTCCTATTCTTTGTTGTCTTGCATCTAAATTCCTAAGTTAAACCATAAAACAATACATCCGTTTAGAAACTGATTTACCTGAGTTCTCAGACCATTGGGTAGGCTGCCAAGCTCAGCAACAGAGGTAGAGCTGCCAGCAGAAGCTGGAAAGCTGGGTTGCTTAAAAGTAAGCTTGGCTTTGGGCACCAGAAAGGCTTGCCTTTACTCATCTATGCAGCACAGTGAGCTTAGTTGGAAAGTGAGGCTGAGAAGAAGCAAATAATGATTCTTCAGTCAAATTTCAGATACACGTAGTCCGCAACTTTTGAACCCATTGGCAGGTTTCCCACCGATTTGACAGAAGGGATAAAAACCTTGAAGATCATTGTGCACTTACAAATTGCATGAAAATAGGCCACTGGATAGAAGAGGGC